TAAATGCTGGTCAATTTTTGCCTTGAGGTGGGACTCTTAGAAGTTGTCTTTTGTGTTACAGAAGTGTCTTGGTTTATGATAGATAAAGACACTGACACTAAGTACCCAGCTGCAGTCTCTATGTATCTGTACCTATGATTATCATAACATTCAGGTCTAGAATTGTGGAAAAATCATACATGTTGAGTACATGTCCATTGTAGCTAACTCATAGTGGGGATATTCCTACATTAGATATTTTTCTAGTAGTGGAAAAGAAATATCTTTTTGGTGTATTGACACCAGAGCCAATTCATTCCTAAGCTAGGAAGAACACAACTGATTATTTTCTGAAACAGAAGATGATCGTATTAAAACATTGGGGAATATGGAATTGGGTTCAAAGGGTATGGCTTTCCCTGGTGAATACTCATGTCTCTTGGGACTCCATACTTTGCCTGTTGCTTCAGAAAGGAAAGATGAAGAGGAATGCTCAGTGAACACAGTCTAAAGTTGAAGGACTGTTAGGCAGGTCATTGAGAAAGCATAAAATCGTTACTGATGATAGCTAACATTTACTGGGTACTTCCCATGTGCTAGACATGGTACTCTGTTCTTGCACCTATGACCTAATTTATTTCTCCCAACCATCTTTGAAGTAAATACCATCATTTCTGTATATTTTTCAGATGAATAAAACTAGTGTTTAGAATGGTTAAGGAATTGCCTAAGGTTGCTCAGCTAGTTAGTTACAGTGCTGGTTCTGAATTTAGATTTATCGATGGCAGCACTCACATTCTTCATTTTGAGTGCTTTGGTAATGAGAAGGTCATGACACAGAAGTTTAGTGCTATAAGGAATTGAAGGCCTTAGGGTTAAAAAGGATTATAACCTTGGAGTTTTAAACTGCATTTAATACCTTCTAAAGATATTAATAGAAAGACTTGTGACAGTCATATACTACCTACCTCCCAACTTAGGATAACAAATCTCACCTACCAAATGAGGATACCTTTCTCTGATGGCTTTGCTCTATCATAACTGTGATAATGAATTTGGTTGGTGCATTTCTTTGTACTTTCTCTACATGTGTATTTATCCTTAAACAATGTACTTTATTATTTTGCATTGGTTTTAATTAGGCTCTGGTATGAGAATTTCTGTGGAAATTGGAAAGAAGGAGCCTAGAGAAAAAAAGGAAATCATAGAGCTCATCTCCTTGGGGAATATCTTGTACAACATGAAGCCTGTTTCAGAGTTCCTGGGTACTTTCTCAGGACTGTATGAAAGATCTGAGTAATTTTGCCAGCATATTTTCAGGGAACATTTTCCTGAGCCACAAGTACACAAAACAGGTCTTGAAACTCTTGCCCTTTCCTATAACCTGGGGCAGAATCAAATTTGCCCTCGTCTGCACAGTGCAACTGTCAGAATGGCTAATTTTCTTTGATTCTGTGCTTTCTGGCATTTGGAAAATGTACCCCAGGAAGTTAAACTCATCATCCTTGCTTGGTGCTCTGTGGCAGCTGCCTGCCTGGTGGCTTCTGGTAGTTCCGTGAAAAGTGTGGGCAGAGGAACAGAAGGGCTGAGGAAGGAATAGAGCGACTGGAATAGCAGTTGCCGGCAGAATATTTGTAGCTGAAGGTGGAGCATATCCAGAGGACACTGTTAGGAATATTTTAAAATCGCAGGTGCACTTCTGCTCCCTGCAATTTAAAGGCACATGGCAAATACAATTTGTATAACTGTTTCACAAAGTGGCAATCTATCTGGCTTCCTTATTTTTAAGCTGGAGTTCTTGTGGGTGCTCCACGGGCAAAGGGGGCATAAGCTGGTCAACTTCTTTCAGGAATGAATGCGTTTAAAGCAACCCTGTTTCCCCAGCATCTGGGAAAGCACCTGTAGGAACTCAAGAAAGATTTTGTGAAGAAATGAATAAATAAAAATGTCATGTTTTCCCACTTGAGGCTAACCCAGTTGTGCACAGATTTTTACTTAAGCCTGTTAACTCCACCACACTTAGCTGGTTCAGCTCTGAGGCAGGACATGATAGCTTCACACATAGGTGGATTCTGAGCTACTTTCAGAGGTAAAAGGAAAGAACATCCTATGCTCATGTTTTTCATTAATTTATTAAAGTCTGAAATGCCACCTGAGCAATGTTATTTAAAGAAATAGAAGAAAGAAATAAAAGGGAATGAACCTCCAAAAATATTGATTTGGAGTTCAAAAATTATGTCTCATATTCATTAACCTTTTTTTGAAGTGAAACAATTGCTTTTGTAGAAAACTTTTTAATTTTTATATATTTAGGGGATAAAAGTGCAGTTTTGTTATATGGATACATTGGGTAGTGGTAAAGTCTGGGCTTTTAGTGTAACTGTCATCCCAATAGAATACATTGTGCCCACTAAGTAATTTTTCATCCTACATCCCCCTCCTACTGTCCCACCCTCTCACCCTTCTGAGTCTCCAATGTCTACTATTCCACTCTCTATGTCCATGTGCATGCATTATTTAGCTCACACTTATAAGTGAGAACATGAAATATTTGACTTTCTGTTTTTGAGTTATTTCACTTGAGATTAATGGCTTCCATTTCCATCCATGTTTCCGTGAAAGACATGATTTTATTCTTTTTTATGGCTAAGTAATGTTCCATGGTGTCTGTGTGTGCTGTGTGTGATACACTATATTTTCTTTATCCAATCATCAGTGATGGACACTTGGTTGATTTTATATTTTTGCTGTTATGAATAGTGCTGTGATAAACATATGGGTGCAGGTATCTTTTTGATTTAATGATTTCTTTTCCTTTAGGTAGATACCCAGTAATGGGAATTGTTACATCCAATGATAGTTCTATTTTTAGTTCTTTGAGAAATCTCTACATTGTTTTCAATAGGGGATGTACTATTAATAATTTATACTCCCACCAACAGTGTATAAGCATTCCCATTTCTTCACATCCTTGCCAACATCTATTATTTTTTGTGTTTTTAATATTAATAATAACCATTCTGACAGAAGATAGTATCTCATTGTTATTTTAATTTGCATTTCTCTGATGATTAGTGATCAGCATACTTGTTAGCCATTTGTATGTCTTCTTTTCAAAAATGTCTGTTCATGTCCTTTGCCCACTTTTTCATGGTGTTATTTTTGGTTTGTTTTGACTTGTTTGAGTTCCTTGTAAATTCTGTATGTGTTTTTCTCAACTTTATTGAAGATCAATTGGCTGTAGGTATGTGGCATTTTTTTCTGAGTTCTCCTTTCTGTTCCATTGATGTGTCTATTTTTATAATAGTAGCATGGTGTTTTTGTCACTATAGCTTTGTAGTATAATTTGAAGTCAGGCCACATGATGCACATGATGCCTTTAGCTTTGTTTCTTTTGCTTAGGATTGCTTAGAATTTGGCTATTTGGGCTTTTTTGGGGGGGTCTGTATGAATTTTAGGATTTTTTTTTTAATTCTGTGAAAAATGATGTTGATATTTTGATAGTAAGTTCATTGAACCTGTAGATTGCTTTGGGTAGTATGGTCATTTTAACAACACTGATTCTTCTAATCCATGAGTATAGGATGTTTTCCCACTTGTTTGTGTCATCTACAATTTCATTTATCAATGTTTTGCAGTTTTCCTTGTAGAAATATTTCACCTCTTTGGTTAAATGTATTTCTAGGTTTTTTTTTTTTTTTTCTTTTTTTTACAGCTGTTGTAAATTGGATTGACTTCTTGATTTGGTTTTCAGTTTGGTTGTTATTGGTGTATAGATATGCTACTGATTTTTGTACATTGATTTTGTATCTTGAAACTTCACTGAATTCATTTATCAAATCTAGGAGGCTTTTGGCAGAGTTTTTAGGTTTTCTAGTTATAACATCATATTGTCAGCAATTGAATACTTATCTCAAAATGCACATATTTATTGATTTATACATTACATATGTACTATTGCATAAATATTTTAATACCTAATAGAACATAGGCAACTATTTTAACTGAAGGAGACAAAACTGAAGTAAAATATTTTATTTAGCAATGGTAGAAAACCTTTACTTTCACAAAAATTATTATCATTATGACTGTGATTAGTTATAATTCAAACTATTAATATTTTATTATCTTGGTTTAATACTTTGTGATGTGTCTTCTAGTTCTAAATTCAGCTTATTTTAAACTTTTGTTTTAATGGCTATCATGCTTAAAAAGAATACCTTATCAAAGTGTGTAGGTATAATGGAAGAAAAGTATCATGGCTGCATCAAATTCTGCTTATCCTTTTGCAAAAGAAAAATGCAAACTTATATTTGTGTCACAAGATTTTTTCCAGTTCTTTTTCAGGAGATGACCAGATAGCCTCTGTAGTACAGAAGATTTTCATGGGCCTTCTCTATCTCATTACCAAGAATTGTAAATATTGTACCATATGTTAATGGCTTTGTGGTTGTTATAGTTGTTTATCCTGAAGAACTTTGACACTGTCACTTCAACTTCATTGTTTATGAATGATACCAGTGAATAGTTTTTTGGCATACAGTTTTAGATTTGTCTTACTCATTTTGTGAGGTTTAGTATAGTTATAACTTGATAACATAACACAAATCTACTTAAGTAAGCCTAAGCAAACAGTGCAATATCCAAATAAACTATATGCAATCTGATGACCTTATGGCACTATGTCAACCCTTCACATTGTGGGCTCCTTGTTCTTTTCTGGGGTCACTTCGTGTAACTTATGTGACATATGAACTCTTGGAGGCAGACTGAATGATGGTACCTTAAATTGATCTATATTAAATATTAGTGAACCTTTTGATTTTTGTATATAAAAATGCACATGAGTAGAGCAACTAATATTTTTCTTCTTTACCCAAGTATATCATTGTATGCACCTCAGATTAGAAACTGTCTTTACAGGATTGATTCCTGTTATAATGTGCATCTCCTTGAGTGATGGAAATACTTGAATTAATTATGGCATTAAGAATGACTTAATTCAATTTTTTTGAAAACAGATTTTGAAAAGATAAAAACATGAGCAAAGTAAATAGCCTTGGCCCTTGGAGGTAGTGGTGAGCAATTATTGGAATTCAAGAAGAGACGAAGAAGATAATATACACATCTGGGAAGCTAGGAGAATAAAACACGCATTCTGAGGTTTTATGACAGGTAAGTAATATCTTCCACTTTTTGCAAGAATCAGAACTGTAGTGCAGGGCAGGGCAGCCACTGTTACTGTCCTCTCCTTCCAGCTCAGAGAGCATGTGTGTGTTGGGCCCACCAGAAGGAGAGACGTTGGCCAACGTATGGCCAATCTTCAACCCAGAGCCAGGACATGGACCCTAGCTATGGCAGAGGTCAAAGCAAAGGTGGTTGGGACCCAAAGGATGATATCATCCCAGGGATGGTTGGCTACTATCCCTGGATTATGAAGATAGCCTGACATCCATTCTGACCTCAAAAGTAGCCTTCCTGGGCTATACCATATTCCAGCTGAGGAGACTGAGGTGGTTGTTTAATTTAAATGTATAACAGTAATGTTCTACACCAGGTTAGCAGCAAAACCAATATTTTCAAAGACTTTATAAATCTTTTTAAGTAGCTATAAGCCTACTTGGGATTGGTAGCTTTCTTCTTTTTATTCCATTTTGAGCATGGCTGCAGCAGGAGGGGGAATTCCATTTTACTCCCTTTATTATTGTAATTTCTGGGCTGGTGGTGCCATCACTTTTTCCTCCATTTTTTTCCTTTTTCTTTCACACCATTCCCTGCTGGAATGCTACCACCAAGCATAGGAAATGAGTACCAGTGGTTGACATCTTTATGGTATTCACCATCACAAATGATCACCATGGAATAATATAATTAGATCATGGTTCCTTTATATTTGACATTTAGAGAAAGAAGATTGGCATTTTATAATATAATATTTTAGAACATGTATCTTTTGACACCTGTCTGTTCTTCTCTGGAGAAAACATGTTCTCCCTTACTAAGTAAATACATCCATATTCTGTAAATCCTGAACGCTGTATCAGCTTATGTTACACCCCATGAGATGAAAAAATACCTCAGTGTAGCCCATGTAAGATAAAGTTTGTACTCCATTTACGCTAAGTCTGATGCTGATGGATGAAAACTTATTAGAGAAACACACTCACCATGCTTGGAGACTTTGCTGTTAACAGTTTTCCATATCTCATTTTTCTGATGTGAGTCTTATTTCAGAAAATTCAGATTAGATGATGAAAGACTGGGGAAAAATTCTACCCCAAGATCCTTCAAACTTGTACGCTTTTTAGATTGATGTAACCCATAGATGAAGGTAGGTGGTAGAGAGAAACGGTACATTATCAAGTCACCGTCTTCTGCAGAATACAAATAAGCCACTCTGACTACAATGGCCCTGTATCAATTAAAAGAAGCCCGTGATTCATAGACATGAATTTTATAAAATGTTATTAACTGAGGGATGGGCAGTCTCTGTGAAAACTCTGGCTTATGAAATTCTAAATAAATATATATCTAGGGCTTTTAAATATGATAGCACTATACTTATGGAGAACTCAGATGTCCAGCAAATTCAACCATCAATACTAGACTCTTGGGTTCAGGAGAACACAGGAAAGGTCTTACTAGCAGTGTAGAAAACAACTTCCATAAAGTGCATATAATGTACTTCATAGCGACCGTGGCATTCCCCACAGAACCTCATCTCATCCATTGGGTATAAAATAAGGCACTTTATTAGAAACCTCAGGGACATTCTGACAGCAGATAATGAATAGCCCTAAAAAGAGGAAAATGAAGAACTATTAGAGGCCAACATAAGTATAATCATTTGATGTTATTTAATAAAAGAAAAAGTGGTCTCCTAAGGCATAATGCAGTTATTGTCATGTTGGTGATTTTGAATAAATAAGAATGGGTTAAATCATGCTCAGCGTACCCTGACAAGGTAGATGATTAGGTAATATTTTCTTAAGTTCTTTCAAAGAGGATTAAATAATAGTAATTTGCACTGATTGAGCATTTACCATGAAACAAATGTTGATCTAAGCGCTTTTTAATGCATTATCTCAATAAATCTCCAGAGCAACATTATGAAGAGGTACCACTATTACTCCCATTTTACAGATGAAGAAACTGAAGGATAAAAGACTTTAAGTTGCCTAAGACGCAGCCAGAAGTGGATTCAACCTCAGCCCCCATGTTTAATCACTGTGTCATACTTGCCTAATTAAAATAAGTACATATTTCTGCCTAAAATAAAAATCCCAGTTGTTTGAAAATTTTCCTTGTGTGAATTCCTGATGATGCAGTATAAACGAGACATTTATGCATATATTAAAGTAGCTTTAATTTTAACTAAGCTCCAATTATGTTACCTAGTAAAGTCTTTTCTGAGACTTTCTTTAGTGATAGACAAAAATGTTTTACAGTTAAAGCTTTGATTATTTTATTTAGGTAGGGGTTTACATACAACATGAAGATAGCTTCAAAGTTGACAACTTGCTGTCAAGATACTTAGGAGAAGGTTGAATCCATCTTAGAACTTTAGATTTAGAAAATCATTAAGTCTTGTTTATGTTACTCCTTTGCTTTGCAAAAATATTATTTTATAGACAGTACAAAGGTAAACTTTAGCTTTGCTCCTGTCAGAATTATCTAATTTCTAATTAGGGGAGCCTGATTTAATGAGATTTTCCTAAGTAGTTTGGATAAGCCTTGGACGACCGACTTTGAGTAAGTGATGTGGTTAAAAAAAAAAAAAGAAAATAGTTAATCATTTGTTGCTTTCATAATTGATCAGTCCAGCATTTCTGTACAGCTAGGTAATTAGGCATTTTGTTACAGACACTATAGCATTAGGAGATGGGAGATGAGAACGGAGAGCCCAAAAGGAAGAAAACAAGCTCCTGGGGTTCCTTACTTCCCTGCAGGCGGGAAGGAGCAGGGGAACTGTAGCAATCGCAGCTGGTTCCCTGCCTGTGAGTGTGCCTCCCCAGCCTTGGAGCCTGCTAACTGCCTCTGCTAAACACTGGAGCTTGTTCACAGGCTAGTATTATCAGTTTGGTGAAGCCAGTGCTAATGCTAGCTGCCAGCGCAATTACATTTCTGCGCAGCCTCTTTGGATGTACACAAGGCTATTGAAAACCACTAAAAATCAGGGTGGAGATGGGCATTTGAAAATGTATCAGTCATCATACTATTTCAAGATGATGAAGGGAACCCACAGTAGGAAAACTTGGGTGATTTTAACAGTTTATCAGAACTGGTTGAGATCAAATAAAAGCTTTGAAAGTAATCCTAGAATAAGCAAATAAAATGACATGTTAACTAACAAGTAATTGTCTTGACTTCAGTTATTTCAACCAAAATATGTTAGTTGTCTTCCTGAATTTCAATTAAAAAATATTTTCAGAAAGTGAATCTGCTCTGGGCTTCTCAACTTTCTAGATATCCATGGAATACACTAACTTCAAAAGGCAATACCTTTGGGGAGAGCCTGATTTGGCAGCTTGGAGACTTCATTTTGAATAGACAAAAGACAGCCAGTACTAACTGCAACTCAGCCTTCCTACTTATAAATACGTGCTCCCATAACCCATTTCTTTTAATGGGTAATGAATTACCTCCCCTGTTTTTCTGAACTTCAGCTTTTTTCCAAAGGGCTATGCAAAAAAGTGCATTGATGTGGAACAACCAGGTAAGATGAGACAGTCTGCTCTACCCATGTTATTAAAGAAATTGGTTCACCTTTTTGATTCTGTGTCATTGTAGTTTCAGCCATTCATTTGTTCAATAAGTAGTTTGGTATGTTCTGGGAAATAATGAATATTGATCACAAAATCGATCACTTATTAAGAAACAGACTAAGGGAAATTGTTTATCCAATCAATTGTAATTTTTGATTTGTTATTTGTATTTTTCAATTTCTACCACCCCTCCCTGAGGCTCTCCTTCTCTCAGGAACACCAAGGCAAAGACATATAGACACTGGCTGAAACTTCTAAAACAATACAAAACCCAATATATTCATTATAGATTATGCCAGCTGAAATAGCCCCTAATAAAAGAGAATATGAGTGAGAACTGCAGCCACACTGCCTCTTGCACCTGTGGCTATTGGACTGAAACTTTACCTAGTAATAGGATTTTCTAAAAATGGTGTGTGCTTACTGTTCATGATGTACAAACTAGTTGTGTCGAGCTTTAAATAACAAAATAGTTGCACATGATTAAAATGTCTGTACAAGCTAACAAAGATTTTGAGCAAACTAGGAAAGATGTTGATTACTTTGGACAAATATGATATTCGTTTTACTTAAAGGGTTATGATTATTTTTGCAAAAGGTTTTTGTGCAATAGGAATGAATGTCATTCTGCAGAATTTTCTGAAGCTGTAACAATGAAAATGGGCTCAGTTGAAGCAGGTTTGAAATAACTTAAGTGATGCAATGTATTGATGGGTTTTCCAAGAGAAGCCGGAGGAAGTCACACATATTCTTTAAGAGCCTGAGAAAAGGGATGGACCATTGTCCTCTTAGGCAAAATACTGATAAGTACTTTGATAAGTCCTCTGGGGAAAGATTGAGTGAGTCCTCTTGTAAAACAGCAGACCTGATCACCATTCTAGATGTCCTTGTTAAAACAAGGAATGAATCAGGTGCAACCTCAGAGCACAGATGTTTCTAGTTTCATTTTTCACTTATGTGGAAAACCAGGGCTTGAAACCAATGTATAAACTAATCTCATTCCTGGTAGAAGTGAGTCCAACTTTTTGCCCTTTTCCCACAGTGCATCTACAGTACAGAAAATGTAACTGCATCCCCAAGTGGCTAATTAACTTTCCCTGGGATTTGTGAGCACCAGGTGAATATATTGCTCATGCTCATACTTCATCTGAAATGTGATTTTGAATATCCCTCTAGCTGGCTGCAGACTCTGATGAAAATTGCCTCTCTCTCTCTCTCTTTTTTTCCACCCTGTTTTCCAACCTTCTTAAGATCAGAGCCCTTCATTCACAGCGTGTAGTAGTGCGTCTAATTTCCAACTGAAATTTCAAGTTTAGATATTTCGTGGATATTTAAATGGCTGCAAATGCTAAGAATTCTTTGTTAGAGAAGTAAAAGAATCGCCAATTTTATTTTTCTAGCTGGACATCCTCTTGCATTTGTCTTAAGACTTGATTAATCTTTTGTCTTTCACCTGGTTTACGTATTTACCTTTGAACCCTTCCTCAGTAAACTGGTCTTCAATAAATTAGTAGAAATGCCTCCTTGCTGTAAACTAAGTTCATTCTGCTTTTACCACAGGGGTGAGAACTACTAATATGTAACGTGATTATGATTTTATGAGCCAGTATTCTATCATTGTGCACTGGGGCTGTTGTGACCATCTCTTCAAAATGATCCCTTTTCTTAAACTGTTAACATGTCTTTTTATATCTTCCTCCCTGTTTGTTTCCCTCTTCTCTCATTTATGTTCCCTTTCACAGAGCCAACTATTACTCATCTCTTGCATCTTCAACAACCCAATCCTGCATCTCTCCCTTTGCCTACAAAGCCATGGCTCTGCCTCTCCTTGACTACCAGCCCACCCCCACCATTCATCTGCCCCTACTCTACCAGCTAAAGTCTTATCTCTCAACTTTCCTTCTATGACAAACTTCAAAAAAAGGCAACCAATACTCACCACCTTATTCCTAAAGACACTGCTGTCTAGTTTCTGGAAAGTGGACCTCATATTCACTACTTTCACCTATTCATCATCAGTTGTTAACCATCTACACTTTGGTTTATGATCTTATTTGTGCTTTCAGAAAGAAAGAATGGTCATCTTATTCCTACATATTTTAATCCCTTTTTAATCTATGGGTTATATGACTTACCTGCAGCATTTGGTATTTCTGGGCCACATCACCCTCATTTATTCATTCAACAAACATTTATTGAATGCCAATTATATTATAGGCACTGTCCTGAGTGCTTGAAATGTATGCATTAACAAAGCAGTTACAAATCTTGGTCCTTATATATTAAAGAAAGCATACAGACAATACAGAATCTACATAAAAAAGAACCATATTATCTAATTAAAATCACCATCAATTGTAAGACATACAGGGCTGATACTTACATGACCTTACCTCTTTAAATTTTGTGCTTTAGGTGTCTCACTTGAGCATTCAGGGAAAGAGGAACACCTGATGCAAAGGTCCAAGTGCAGGAGTGTACCTGATAAGTTCTCAGAGGAGCAGAAGGCTGTAATGGGGTGGAGAGAGTGGGCTGGGGCAAGTAACGGGACACAAGATCAGAGCCGTCACAGTGAACAGATCACATGGGGACTTGTGGCTGTCAGTCATTGCAAGGACTTGGGCTTTGTAAGACTCAGGAGCAAGTGAAGGCTTTATTATTATTATTACTTGTATTTTTAAAAAATAGATTTAGGAGGTACAAGTGATTTTTTTTGTCACATGGCTGAATTGTGTAGTGGAAAAGTCTGGGCTTTTAATATACTATCACATGGATAGCATACATTGTACCCAATAGGTAATTTTTCATCCAAAACCCATCCATTCCTCCCCTTCTGAGTCACTGTGTATGAACATGCATACCCATTTCTTAGCTCCCACTTATAAGAGAGAACATGTGGTATTTGCTTTTTAGTTACTGAGTTACTTCACTTAGAATAATAGTCTCCAATTCCACCCAGGTTGCTGCAAAAGACATTATTTAATTCTTTCTTATGGCTGAGTAGTACTCCATGGTATGTGTGTATTATTTATATTATTATTATTGCCATTTTTTTCTCTTCTTTTGAAAAATGTTTATGTCTTTTGCTCACTTTTTAATAATGTTATTCATTTTAGTCTTGCTTATTTGTTTGAGTTCTTTATAGATTCTGAGATAATTGGCCTTTTTCAGATGTATAGCTTGTGAATATTTTCTCCCATTCTACAGATTGTTTTTTTACTCTGTTGATTATATATTTTGCCATGCAGAAGCTTTTTAGTTTAATTAAGTCCCATTTATTTATTTTTCTTTTTGTTGTATTTACTTTTGGGATCTTAGTCATAAATTCTTTACCTTGGCCAATGACGAATATAGTTTTTCCTAGGTTTTCTTCTAATATTTTTATGGTTTCAGGTCCTACATTTAAGTCTTTAATCGATCTTGAGTTAATTTTTGTACATTTTTGAGAGATAGGGATAAAGTT